GAAACCATTTTAGAAAGAAAGAAAAGGGTGTTCGACTACTCCAAGCTGCATTTAGGAAAAGACTTTTACTCGATGTTGCTTGTCAAGTTTCTAGGGTTGAACCACCAAAACAGCAGTCTGCAAATCTGATTCGAGGTGTTGTGTTATTTCAATCTGCCATCAGGTACCAGCTGAAGAAGAAAGAGAAGGCTGTTGTGATGGTCCAGACTGCATTCAGATTAAAACTCTTACAAAAGGTCACCATGTTAACAAAGGATAACAAATTCCGGGATTGTTTACGTATTAAGAGACTGATTGGGGGGATCATCCTCTTTCAGACAGCAATCAGAAATCATAGACAAAGAAAATTAGATGCTTCGTTGATGATTCAGGCCGCATTTAGACGTAAATTAATGCTGAAAGTTGTTGAAAGAGCAAATATAGATTGGGAGACTCGCGCGACTGCTTTAAAGTATCGAACTACATCTGTTACCAAACATACACCACCAGATCTGAAAATCACCCAAACCATCAAATCAGTTATTCTCGTTCAGTCCATAATACGAAGGCATCTGGAAATAAAAGAACAACGCATAATCATGATCCAGATAGCTTTTAGGCGAAAACTTCTTCTTAATGTTGCCCATAGAGCTCTTGAAGCTAAACAGGTTCCGAATCCAATTAGTGTTGTAAATTTAGCCAAAGCGATAGTCAGAATCCAAACTGCCTTCAGAAGTAGACTTCAGAAGAGAGAAAAGAGTATATTGTTAGTCCAAGCGGCTTTCAGAAAACATCTCCTTATGAAAGTTTCTAAGCTAACAAAGGGAAAACAAGATATTCCTCCAACTCACCTCCTGCATTCCATTATCATGGTCCAGAATCAGATACGGAAAAAACTTAAACAAAAGGAGAAAAGCACCCGAATGATTCAAGCTTTGGTTCGAAGAGCCCTAATGATCAAAATAGCCAGAGGCTTGCAGAAGACTCCATTGTCAATCTCATTCACTGAAGATTCCCTAAAGGTTGTTAAGATTGCCAAGGCCACAATTCTACTACAAGCTGCATTTAGGAGAAACCTGGAGCAAAAGGAAAGAGGTGCCCGATTGATGCAAGATGCTTATAGAACGAGACTCCTTCTTAAAACTGTACAATTTGAATCGTTAAGATAACCCAAAAGAATTTTACATACATGCACTACATAAAATCAAACACTACAACCTGAAATATATCATGTTCCACGGTTAGGCCACATTTGTTTGACCTTCTGTTCTTTGACTACCCAATCATCGTGGGACATACGTTTTCATGCATACATTTGTATATCCCATTAATTTCTAATCACACATGGTCAAAATTTATCTGCAATAAAAACTTTATCTTTGATTGTCCAACTCACTGACCACCATACATAGGTCTGAAATGAGATCTCCAGATAACAGTAAGAACATGCTTCTTACAGGGAGTGTGATATATTTGTGTATAATAATTACTGTTATAGGTCATGACTGTATATGTTCAGTAAACTGGGTTGGGTGGCTGAGTTGAACCTGGTGGGTTTTCTCCAGTCCTCCAGTGTCCTCCCACTGCTAAAGACCCCTAATCTAATTTGTGTGAGTGGACGTTAAACCCCATTTCTTTCTCTCTCAATGTTCAGTAGAATGAATTGCAATAAAGGCATATCTAATAAAAATGATGAATTCTTTCTCAAGAAGTGATTATTACTGATAAAGTTTTAAATGTAAATTTTAATCTTAAAAAACACACATGGTATGTATATAGTCAATATTTTCCTGTAACTGTAAGAATTTCATCTAAATGTAGATTCGCTAGCTGTATTAGGATTCAAGGTAGTAAAAGACAAACTTTAAGGAACTAAGTGTATCTTATAATATATGTAATTATTGTACCAGGTCAAAGAGCAATGGTCATCTTGATGTTCTTGTTCCTGGTGTCGATGTTCTTCATCAAAAACCTAATGCTCCACTAATTCATGTGCAATTGACATGAAACTTGACATCTTGTTTCTTCAATTTGTACATCGATGGACAAGCGTCGCAATTGCAAGATGGCTGCGATGACGTCATCGTTAGTTCCTGGTCCATAAACTCACATGAGAATGAACGTGTTTTGAGTCAATTAATTCAGATATTACATATTTCATACCCTAATTAGAAGTTGGCTCAACTGAGCATATAATTAGAATTATGTTTCAATGTATATACATTGTAAATTTTAAACTAATTGAAGATCAAATTTATCGATTTGTTTGTTAAAAAATGTTTTCTTTTCATTATTTTGTGTACATACAAAACTTGATTATTTCATAATAAGTCATGATTTTAGCTGTGAGTTGAAATAGACCTCCCCGTATATAGCTGGGAGTTGGAGTAGTGCTCCCTATAAATATAACTGGGGAATTGGAGTACACCTCCCGTATATAGCTGGGAATTGGAGTACACCTCCTTTATATAGCTGGGAGCTTGAGTTTTGCTCCCTAATGTATCTGGGAGTTTAAAATTTGCTCCCTAAAATAATAAGACAATGGAATTGGATATACCCTAGTGGATTTTAAAATATTCCAAATTGGATTGTACAAAGGTTGTTTCAAACTTTTTATTATAAATTTAGGTCTTTCTTGTGTTAACTAAGTTTTTTTTTCATATTGTCCATAGTATTAATATTCATTCATTAGATAGATTTAAATTTTAATACTTTATCCTTCATATTCCTCAAAAGTTTAGCTTTGGACCAGAAACTTGCCCCCAAGCGCTACTCATCTTGATGTTGTTGTTGTTCTCTGTATGGTGGGGGGGGGGGGGAGACACTCTCCAAAAAAAAAAAAGACAGTGGTTCCCCCAATTCATGTACAATCGACATGAAACTTAGTATACTTGGTCCTTGGACAATTGTGCATCGATTGATAGACTTTCATTTTTGATATGATGTCGCAATTCTAGGATGGCTGTGATGTCGTTATAGTCAGTTCCTGCTCCGCAGTTATTCAGTAGATTAGACTATCGTATAGAATTTTCATTGTTTTAATACATCTTTGATACAAAATAAGTATTATTCTTGTTGTTGAATGTACTGGCATTTAGTTTGTAATATAATTACATCAAATAAATTTCTTCTAATTGTTCCTATTTTAATATTTATTGATGTTGATGGAAGAGAATTTGGAAAACCGAGATGCCAAGTGCAAATGGATTATAAAACACAAGGCTTAAAAGTCACTGCCAAAGATGGGGAGTAGAGTCAAATGTGCATCCTTCACGGTCACCTGGTCTGCCATTCTCATTCCACTTGTAAATTCTGTTGATCTATGGACTTGTGATAAGAATCCAGCTTTAACTTTGACTAATCTACCACATCACAGGATACTTGGTACTTGAGGAGCAGTAATTTGACCCAAAATAGTAATATTGCTCCCTCAAACCAAAGCATCTTGCCTGAAAGTTTAAAGGGACTATCCCGAATTGAACAGTCTCAAAAATAAATGTCCGGGTACGTATGAAATTTAAGTGCCAAAATATAGAGGAATGGTGTATTTACCCTGCCTCAAAATTTCAGCTCAAAATATTGAGTCACTGGGACGTGAACCTCAAAACTGCTTATCTGGACACGTAACCCTTTTAAGATTTTGGGTCAATTCTTTCGTTGGGTGACCTGATAATCGACTCCCCTTCCTTTAGAGGTTTATACAGTGAATGACCCATGTGCTGTACTTTATAACGAAAAGTAAATTTCACCTACACATTATTTTTATAAAATAAAAGTCTGGTTTTATCAAGACACCGCATAATACAGCTTGGGGCACCGGTCCCCACTTCCAGATTAAGATTGACGGATTTAAGTTGTTTGAAAACGTATCAAATATACTGACTTAGTTTCTCGGCCCTACGGTAAAGGATTTTAAGGGATTTTAACACAAAATTAACCAGTTTTATTATCCAAAATATTATAGGGATTGGCCCTTTAAAGTGTGATTGTGTAGACTTTAGTACTAGAAATTGTTAGATCTATAAAAATATATATAGCTATCTACTAGCTTATGGTAAACGAAAAACGACAATACTATATACCAGAAGACACCGGAAAACAACCAGAAAACACCTGAAAACTACTGGAAAACACCGGAAAACTACCGGAAAAACACTAAATATCTGAAAATACCCTAAATAGGTAACCCGGAGACTGGCACCCTAAATAGATATCCTGGTCCTCGGTTAGTTTCTCCGAGTTACCTATTTAGGGTGTTTTCCGGTATTTAGTGTGTTTTCCAGTATTTAATGTTTTTCCTGTGTTTTCCGGTATTCAGTATAACATGGTGTTTTCCGGTATATAGTATAGACCACGAAAAACCAGGTCTGATCCAAATGCTTAAATTTATTTTTCTTTATATATTTTCAGCTTTTTCTTTTACAGCAAATTATTCTGCACTTTATTATATAGCAATAACATATTATACTAATCATTTAAAACTTAATTTCTTTCCTAATTTGGGGGAGCTACGGTGGTTCAGTGAGTCACTAAGCAGTAGGTTTTGATTTAACTTCCGTTGTTGGTCAAGATAGTACCTTGTGATTTTCCAGTGTGGTTTCTCCTTGTCAGTGGTGCAGGAACAGTGGCTATTAATTCGGATTGTATTCAAAATTACATGGCATGCATGTAAAAGGACTCTTGGCATTTAGAATTCGATACAAGAGTAAGCCATAGTGCAAGTCCCCTCATAGTACACTGCATGGTGTATACCCGTCTTCATTAGCCCAGTAGGTGCAGAAAAGTAGGACGACAAACACTAATTCATTTCCTAATTTTATATTAAATTAATTTTAAGGTTTATAGATAGTTTTGTAAATTGTCACATTAATTATATAAATAAAATAGTGTCATGAAGTGAAATTCATTGACATTTTTAGACGTTCATTAAATTCAAGTACATTATTCACTTGAGTGATGTCATCTTGTACATCCAAAGGTTTAAATGACAAAAGCTTAATTAACTTGTATTGTGTTTACAGCCCGAAGTAAAAGATGAGCCAGCTGCCCAAGCAGAAGAGGAAATAGATATTGACCTCAACGACCCAGAAGTAGAAAAGGCTGCCGTTAAGATACAAGCTGGATTCAAGGGTTTCAAGGCCCGAAAAGAAGTCCAACAACCAACAAAGACGGTTTGTGCAATTGTTATTGGTCAGATTTGTCACCTTCAATAGTCCTTCAAATCGGTCAAGAACCCCAGGTTGTGGCTGAATGGTTTAAAGTTACAATTTCATATTTTTAGGTTATATTTTTAAAATGTATTAAAATAAAGCCCTAAAATAGATGGTATCTATAAACAGTCCTACCTTGTTAAAGATTAATCCTATAATTCACTATTTCAAAAAATTTTAACTTCAAACGTTTGAAGATAGCTATTCCATGGTGTGGAATAGGAAAACAAAGGAGGTAATTGTGTTATTATTTCCTGTGTGAAGATTTTTAAGTGTGAGAAAGATAACCTATGATCAGATAATAGTGAGTTGACAATCTATTGAGCAAAAGACATAGAAATAATTATGTTTTGACTTTGACTGTCATTGAGACAAGTGCCGTGGCTTCGAGCCCAAACATGTACCTAACAAGTAGTATTGCCGCTTTTCCTACCTCGGGGGTTTTCTTCATGTCCTATCTGTTTCCTCCCACTGCTTAAGACCCCTATGCATAGGTGAATTATTGAAATAAAATGGGTTAGCGAATTATGGAAATAAAATTGAACAATATTAGTCCCTAAATGACCTTGTTTGTATTGTATAGACTTTAAATCCCATTTCTATCTCTTTATCTGGGCAAGTCATTGGTTTAATTTCTGAGTTATAAGCGACATATAGTTTGGTTGACTGCCTTTAAATGGCTATCTTTCTACGAGTACACCAGTTTGTGTATAATTCTAAATAATTAGTGAAATGTATATATGCACCATATTTTAGACCCTATTAAATCCTGTTCCTCTTGTTGAGTAGGTGGGGTGGATGGCCGAATGGTTAGCATGTGCGCGCTGTATCATTAGGTTTGTCATTGAGTCAACTGGCGTGGTTTCGATTCCTCGGTTGTACGTGACAAGGAGTAGGGACGCCTGTCCAACCTTGTGGGTTTCCTCCCACTGCTAAAGATCACTACGCGCAAGCGAATTATTGAAATAAAATTAACCATGTGTTAGTCCTGAAATGACCTAGTTTGTGTCTTGTGGATGTTGAACTCTCTCTCTCTCCTTATATAAGTATGTTTTGTATTTTGTGTTATATTCGTTACAGGAGGAGGTGAAACCAGAAACAACTGAAGCTGAATCCAAACCAAAGACTGAAGAAGAGGAAGAAATAGACATAGATCTTGAGGCACCTGAAACAGAAAAGGCTGCGCTTGCTATCCAGGCCAACTTCCGTGGTTTTAAAGCTAGAAAAGGTATGAAAAAGAAGAATGAAGAAGAAGTCAAACCGGCGGTGGAAGCAAAGGTTGAAGAAGAAACCAAGGCGTCTGCGGAAGAAGAAGAAATCGATATTGACCTCAATGATCCGGAGGTTGAAAAAGCTGCTACTAAGATACAGGTTTGGGTCTTGTTTAATGTTTACTGAAAAAGAATTCTGCATACAGCTAAAATCAGTTGGAAACTGCCCAGATGCAAAGGGCTATAGCTAAACCCCTTGACAATTGAAAACTGAAATAAGACCATAACGCCACTGTACTGACAACAATTCACTCATTTTACTGTATAGTGTATTGCCGTCTTCAATAGCCCAGGTGGTGCAGAAAAGTAGGACGTTAAACCACATTTTAATTCGTCGTTAGATTCAACACAGGGTACATTCAAACTATCTTACTCGTTAAAGATACATTATGGGAGATTAGAAAAAGAGTTGGCAGTTCTCACTATAATAGTTAAAAACTAGATAATGTAAAGGGAATATGCTGAAAATTTCAGTCAAATTGATACAATCTAAACTGAGAATTTAGCGATTGAATATTGGGCCTAGTCTTGAACATCATTACTAAAGTCGGTACAATAAAATACATTGTCTTGATTATCCATTTCTTGATTTAATCATGAATGAGCATAGAGCAGCAGATCGGATCCAAATCCAGTAAATATCACAGGCTAGCGATGACATCGAGAGTTGATTATGGTCTGGATAAGTTAATTAATGTCTAATTAATAATTTAGATAACATTTCAATAAGCAGATTTAGTTCTTGCATAATGTATGTTTAATTAACAGACATCCTATTTTTCTTATTGCAGGCCAGTTTTAAAGGTTTCAAGACACGAAAAGAGATGAAATCAAAAACAGAAGATGGCGCCAAAGACGAGGAGGAGGTCAAAGACGAGGTCAAGGCTGAGGAAACAAAACCTGATGAGGAAGAAATAGATATTGACCTCGCTGACCCGGAAGTAGAAAAAGCTGCCTTAAAAATACAAGCAGGGTTCAAAGGATTTAAAACCAGAAAAGAAGTTCAGAGTAAAAAAGATGTCGGAGAGAAGGAAGAAGGAGCTGGTGAGGAAGCGGGAGACGCAAGCAAAGAAGATGAATCAAAAACTGACAAGCAACAGTAATTAGTGCCAAATTTTTAATTTGATCATTTTGTCACCCTTAACAGCAAAACAAGTTTCATGTCACAGGTGATTGTTTATGATAATATATCGACAAAAATTCCAAAATAGGCTAAAACTTTAGTTTAATTTCTTTTCCCAAATCTAACCTTTACATTTTGTGTTATATCATCAAAAAGATATTTTTAGCCTATTTTAACATTTTTGTTTATATCGTAAAAGATTTGAGACTTCAGACTCCTTTTGCTATTACAGGTCACATTTCATTAAACCATCTTGTACTAAACTTTAAGGTAATAGTAGCTAGTTTCTCACAAAATTTCTTTGTGTAAAGTCTGTTTTTGTTTTGAACATTTGCACAACTTCTTTAACGGTAGCTTAAAATGGTCTACTACATATGGTTTAATGTTCAAGAGCGAGACATTTAGTAATGTATTGATACTGCCTGAGGACATTAGTCGTAAATGCTGTTTCAATATATTACGTAATATCTTGCTCAAGACTATTAAACAACTTAAAACACAGACACTATCAATGGAATCGTCACACGAGTCCATTATTTCATCTAGTATAAAAATAATGTACAATTGGCACATTGTTCACGTAAGACGGCGGAGAGAAGCTATTTAAATTGTTGATTGTTGGAGACTGTATATTTATGTAGTGAATTATTCATATTTACAACGACGTATTATTTTATAGGATGATTTACCAGTATTTCAAGCCCCCTGTACAGTGATTTTTTTAATTGATTTTAATTTAGAAGAATATACACTATATTTTATATATAGCAAGGTTCGATATCTGTTGTATCAGATTTAGATATAGAGAGGCCCTAGACTATTCCAACTAGGCCATGAGGCCCCTCTCAAACACCCACCCTCACCACAAGAGGAGGAAGCTAATGACGGATATTTCAGACTACAGTGCGTATAAGAAGGGCTTATTCCAGTGTCAAAAATATTATACACAATTGGCCAGAGGTCCCCTAGTTCTCGAGGCCTTAGACATCGGCCTGGCAAGCCTATTGGTAAAATCTGCCTCTGCCAGTAACTAATTAATTTTGTTCTATTCTATATAGTATAAGGGGGAGTGGGTGGCCGTATGGTTAGCACGTGCACGCTGTGTGTCATAAGATCTGTCTTTGAGTCAACGTGACAAGAGTATGGGCGCCTGTTCAACCTCATGGGTTTTCTCCGGGTCTTCCGGTTTCCTCCTAATGCTAAAGACCCCTACGCGCAAGTGAATTATTGAAATACAATATAGAAATCATATGTTAGGCCCGAAATGACCTACAAAAGATAATCCAACCTTGCTATAAATATTTAATGAATAACCACTCACTTTTGTTTATAGTTATATATACATGTATATATAAACCAAGGTAGATAACTCTAGTATAACCTAATGACACGTATGTGTGAAGGTGAAGCGCTTGGTATCTATGCATTATGTACAGTGTATTTTAAGCAATTATCATGATAAATTTTATCTTTACACATTTACATCAAGCTGGGTTCACACTAGCAGTTATTTTCTTAGTAAACATCAGGCTATGTTCACACTAGCAGTCATTTTGTTAGTAAAAATCAAGCTGGGTTCACATTAGCAGTTATTTTGTTAGTAAACATCAAGTTATGTTCACACTAGCAGCTATTTTGTTAGTAAACATCAAGCTATGTCAGTCAATTTACATATATATGTGATAATTATATACATCAAAATTTTAATGAATGGCAGAATTTTAAAGTGATAATCCTAGACTATCAATTTATTGGTCAGATCGGTCAACATTGAAATTGTTCTGATTTACTGACAATTGGTGAACAGTTTTCAACTGGCAATAGAATACTGGTGTAGAAAGATTGTGTTCACTATTCACTTAGGTTCAAACACACATTTGTTACTTTTCACGTAGGAGCATACTCCTGATATGCTGGATGATATTATAGTCAACTAAACTTTAATACTTTTCAGCAATATTGAGTCTAGAATTGGAGGAGCTGGATAGGTTTTCATAATTCTCAGTAATATTGAGTCTAGAAATTGAGGAGCGGGATAGGTTTTAATGCTCTAGTATTGAACATTCTTCCATTTAAGGAATTTATTTAAACATTCCACAATATACTGTTGACCTTTCACATGAGCACTTTTGAGCTTTCACCTGTATACTTTTGACCTTTCACCTTTATACTGTTGACTTTTCACCTGAACACTTTTGACCTTTCACCAGTATACTGATGACCTTTCACCTGTATACTGTTGACCTTTCACCTGAACACGTTTGACCTTTCACCAGTATACTGATGACCTTTCACCTGTATACTGTTGACCTTTCACCAGTATACTGTTGACCTTTCACCAGTATAATGTTGACCTTTTACCAGTATAATGTTGACCTTTCACCGGTATACTGTTGACCTTTCACCGGTATACTGTTGACCTTTCACCTGTAAACTGTTGACATGTATTTAATTGTAACTGTGATAACATGAAATGTATGTGTTTATGAAGAATGTAGACATTAAAGTATGTATTAACTAAAATAACAGACCAAAAATGCTGTTGTGGCCAAAACCACCAAATGGTTTGTCAAGAATTGTTATAATTAGTAGGTGACTATTGTATGTTTCCAGGTATTAATTATATTTTAGAAATCTTTATGAATAGTTGATAAATTGGCAGGATATAAAATTAGTTTCTTCCGTTAAATTACATCACGTTCTATAAACAGTGAAACCTTTCTATTAAGACCACTTGTCAGAATCCAGTCAATTTGGTCTTATTAGCTGGTAATCTTTTTAGTTTGAACAGAATTCATAATTTAGTCCTAACACAAACAGAACTGTTCATTCCACATTCAGGAATGAATGCTTCACTTTATCCTGTGTTTTGTGAAAATACAATATTGAGTTTTTAATTGATACTAACATGAGAATTGGAGTAATTACCAGAGGTTGTTTTATAAACTAGATTTACACCCAGATTTTAGCACTTAATGAGAACATATCATATTATACCATGGCTAGCATTATTATAAACCTGTTATTTATTATATAGTTATTTATTTCTAGATCCTTGTACATCAACACAATAAATCTTATAATTAAAACTCGTGTTGTTTATAAACCAAGTTATTCATACATGTCGGCCCTACGCCATGTTGGGGGGTTGGATGGCTGTATCATAAGGCCTGTCATAGAGTCAACTGGCGTGGTTTCGAATCCCCGGTTATACGTGACAAGGAGTAGGGTCGCCTGTCCAACCTTGTGGGTTTTCTGCGGGTCCTCCGGTTTCCTCCCACTGCTAAAGACTCCTACACACAAGCGAATTATTGAAATAAAATTAAACCTTAGTCCCGAAATGGTCTAGCCTGTGTCGAGTGGACATTAAACCCCATTTCTCTCTCTCTATCTTTTATGGATGGCGGCACATTCCATGTGACAATGACATCACCATATCACGTGACATATTTAGTGGTACCATGTATGGTATGCAATCTTTGCCAAAAATATTCAATGCCAATGTACAGTGTAATCCTATATATGCTATTGAGTAAATACATCACACCTGTATACATGGAATCAATTACTAATAGTGAAGTAAAACAGTTGGCCTTAAATATGAATGAATATAGGCCTAGTTTAAGTTATTCATATCCTGCAATGTATCCTTATCCTGTATCCCAAATTAGGCCCGGCATGTTGAACAACGGGCCCTGGAGGGAGGGTCAGATTTGGATGAAGAGAGGCCCTAGGCTATTTATTGTATTCAAGTTATGAGGCACCCACCCCACCCTAACGAATAGAGGAAGATGGAAGGATGTTGACGGTAAAAAAGGGCTTATAACAGTGTCAAATATATCATACACCTTGACCAGAGCCTCGCGCCCTCCCGATCTTAAAACCCTAGACTTGTGACTGCCAATCTTACAGGTGAATCCGTCCATAGGAAGAGGACATTGGACGGAGAGAGAGAGAAATAGGATTTAAGGCCCACTCGACTTAACCTAGTTCATTTCAGGACTTGTATGGCACAATCTTTTATTTCAATAATTCGCCTGCGCCTAGGTGTCTTTGGCAGTGGGATTAAACATCTAAGATATGTCTGCTCTAAGTAATATTACAGGAAGATGTCAATGGACATAGAGAGAGGGAGAAATGGGGTTTAACGCCTACTCAACACAAACTTGTTCATATCACGACTAACGTGGCACAATTTTATTTCAGTACTTTGCATGTAGGTGTCTTTAGAATAGGGAGGAAACAAGAGAGACCCCACGAGGTTGGACAGGCGAATCTGCTCCTTATATCGTGTACAACTTGGGAATCGAAACCTCACCACTTGACTAGATGACAGACCCCATGATCTAAAGCGCATATGTTAAAACACTAGACCCGCCCTTTCCTACATTGAAAATGAAATGGGGTTTGACGTCCTACTTTTCTGCTTCGACAAGGCTAATGAAGACTTGCAAACCCCATACAGTGTGTTGTGAGGGAAATTTTGCCGTACAACGGCACTATGGCCTACCCCGATATCAAATTCCAGCTGCCAAGGGATCTTTTACGTGCAGACCAATGTGTTCATTGGACCTCGGTTTTTCGTCCAACCCAAACAACTAGACAGCTCTCCTTGTCAGGCCGTCGGCACAGCACCACTGACAGGGGAAACCGCTTTTGGAAATCCTGATGAACTTACTCGGCCAACACCGGAATCGAACCCGCGACCACCAAGCTAGCAAGCCAGCGTTTTACTCACTTGGCCACTGTGGCTCCCTTCCTACATTGGACACAGAACTCTAATATCCCGTAATAAACATTCAACTGTTATGTCCGCTGTGTTGAGCATACATTCATTGACTTGTAGAACTTTTTAAAGATACATTATTCAAGAGCTAAATGTGTCTATTGCAGACCATGATCTGCCTTAATAATTAATACCATTAAGCTGAGAAAATATACCTAATTTCTTGTACGCTCATATTCATGTAAGGGAGATAACCAATTCCAGGAGCAAATAACTCTTGTGAAATCTCTTATAACACTCCCCATCCTTAAACTGTTTATCTGCATGATTCATTCTATCTGAATTACAGTAATATCAAAATGTATTGATACAGTTTACTCCTCGTGACCTTGAGGAAAATATGCATTTGACCTTGTCAAATAGACCTAACCCCCACAATAATGCAGCAACCAATAAAATGCTCAAATTGACAAGTTGCACAGAAACAGAATAATAAGTGTCTCATTTATACTGTAATTTAGGTTGGAGGGCTGTGTGTGTGAGTGAGTGGGTGTGTCTGTGTGTGCTGGGGGGGGGGGGGTACCTGAATCCATTACGGCCAGATATAGCAATTCACCGTACAGTTATACTGCGATATGCGCAATAATTCTTCTTTGACAAGCTGATTTTTCAGACGGTTAGCAAGACTTTGGACTCGAGTATCCTTGTATACGTGTATCCTTCCTTAAATAGTTCCCTCCTTTGTTTACCCCTCTAATAATTCACCTACCCCTTGTGTGTACTCTCCTTGTCGCTTAATTAGTTCCCTTCTCCTTAGTTTACCCCTCTAATAATTAGTTCACTCCTATATTGGCGTGCACGTAAAAGAACACTTGCCGGTTGAAAATCTGAATACTAGAGAAAGCCGTAGCGCTGACAGCCCAGAGTTTCCCTCACAGAACATGACATTGCCGTATGCCTGTCGCCAATAAACAAACTGGTGCAGAGGACATTAAACCCCATTTTACTAAATTTCTAATGAATTAGACGAAATTCAAGTATTAAACTTTAATTATATTAATACATTTATCATTAAATACAACTAATAGAAGAGAGGCTGGACGATAAACCCTAGCTCCTGTTGCCATGGTACAGGTCACAATTCTATAGTATACAATTATTGTTTATCAGTGAGAGGCGATTCGGCTTATCTCCTCTTTACCAACGACAATCCAGAGAAGCCAAATGGAAACATAGCTTAAGAACAAACTGTAGTCGTGTCTTGTGTATAACTCTGTTATGGTTGAAGTGATGAATTCGCTTTTTTTTTTATCAAGGAGCATAGTTTAGCTGTACAGACAATCAGACTCGGATTCTTCAATGGTCAAATGGTCATGGTTTTGTTTTCCTTTTTTAGTATCCTATAAATTGTTAAAGAGTTCAGATAAATAATTCTTTAAACTTTATTCCCGGAGCCTTGTGTATTCCAGATAGTATTAGAAGCAGAGTTCAAGAATGGGTTGTTCGGGATTGGAGCTTGTGGCATATTTGGCATGGGAAACTGGGGCATATTGGGCATGGAAATCTGGGGCATATTTGGCATGGAAATCTGGGGCATATTTGGTATTGGGGCCTGTGGCATATTCGGCATGGACATCTGTGGCATCATCGGCATATGGGCCATAGGGTGATTCCATTTCATGTTATTTCCGGGCACCTGCCACAGATATCTGACATTGGGCACCCATCTCCATGTAATGGATTGATGATGGTTATTGGTTTGAGGTTGAGGTTTTACTGGTGCTGGTGTTATGGGTACTGGTGGTAAAACTGGAGCTACGGGTTTAGTAGGATAGGTTGGTCTAGGATAAGGGTTGATGCTGTTGCTCTGTTGGCCAAAACCTGAAATAAAATAAACAAAAATATGTTGAATATGGACCTTTTAAGATTTTTGCTTAAACAATATTTTCACCACCTTTCCTAAAATGCACAAAATTTATTTACATGTTTAAATTTGCGGTTGTTTTATAACGTGAATGTGATCAATTTGAAACATGACCCACCTTTCGACAAACAGTTCACCGTCACAAAATTATAAGATTGAAATGAATTTGTAATAAAATGTGGTATAACGTACTACGTTTCTGCACCGACTGGGCTATATGAAGACTGACATACGCCATAAAGTGTGCTACGGTCTATTCTTATTTCGAAATTCAACTGTTAAGGGTTCGGTTGCCTGCACGGGGTCTCGGGTTTTCGCTCCATCCGCACGACTTCGACACTGTTCTTGCCTTTCCCTCTTTCCTGCACAACTGACAAGGGGACAATCCTGTTGAACTTTCCCGGCCAACACAGGGAGCGAACCTGTGTCTTATTAACTGAGCCTGCGCGGACCTCAAAATGAATTTATAAGTTGAAATGATCTACTCACCGTTCATCAGTAGAAAGGGGAACATTTCCTCCATTCCTTCTCCTAATAGAAATCCTGATCCAATTCCAGCTAACATTATATTAGCACCTACAATTATATAAACAATATAACATCTCAAAATAATAATGTACATTTATACGTAAACTGATATAACGTTTATAAAAATATGAAATCTCATATTAATCAATGTAAAAGATTATATATCATTTAAACGGATATAATGTTTATATCAATATAACGTTTATAAAAATATTATATATAATTTAAATCGATATAACATTTATATATCGATATAACGTTTATATATCAATATAACGTTTATATATCAATATAACGTTTATATATCAATATAAAAATATTATGCATTATATTAACGAAAAGGTATAAATCAATATAACATTTATAAAAATATTATATACCATTTAAACGCTTATATAAATACTCTAAAATTTCAACCACACCCAGTTTCATCTAACCGTGGAACCCATACACGATGGAGAATATTAGGTTTGTCTTTGCTATTAGAAAGCTCACTATATGACCAATGGCCCGAAGATAGTCAAACTGGGAAACCTCACTAGATACGTTTTGACTGTTGACCCTGAGGCCATTCCTCAATCCACAGAGGTAGCCATTGTTGTCATGCATGTGTATTGTTCTGATATTTAAATATATTTCAGCAGACAACATTTACTTAAAGATACATTATGGGAGATTAGATAAAGAGCTGACAGTTCTCGCTATAATAGATAAAACTAGATAATGTAAAGGTAATTTGTTGAAAATTTCAGTCAAATTGGTCCACTCTGAACCGAGATATCAGCTTTGTAAATTTCCGCCTACTCTCGTTCATCATTACTAAAGTTAGTACGTTAAAAAGCATAGTCTCGATTATCCAGTGTTTTGATTTAATTATCAATGAGCGTTTGCAACATATAGGATTCTAATCC